AGCATGCTAGCATAGGCCTTCAGCGGACATCGCCCGCGCTGTGATGGTAATCCAACGTGCAGGATATCATTAAACAAGGAATAGGAGAACTGTGCCGCCGTCGCCAGGTGACTCGGCGGGATGTAACCCTGTGCGGGCGACCTGGGATGTACCATCACCGTCGATTGGCCCGACTGGGACTTACCTCCTCTGCGCTGCAAAGCGACCATCGGGACGTACCCTTTCCGCGAAGCGACCGCTGGGACGTACCGCCGCTGCGCGCGGCATGACGAGACGTACTCTCATTACAAGGCAATAAGCTGGATTTTAACTCTGTGGCATTGGAACGTATCACCGCTGCATGCTACTCAGCTCCCCAGTGCTCTGTCGTACTTACCAGACTGTAACTGCCCATACGTGTACCTCACGCCCTTAGCCGTCAACATATATCGATTATGAAGTCTACTTGTAACGCGCGCGCTTTGGTGTGGTAAATGGATCTTTCATAGATTTATCCTTCGTGGCATCCCCTGCTCCCGCGCGCGTTGATTCGGGGAACAACCGTAGGGCTGGAAGAGGATGCGCATTCAACGGGGATGACGGAAAGACTCTCGACGACCTTTGTGCGGTGGGAGTGACAGAGCCAGCCTTGTGCGGCAGGGACAGAAGATGTTCTGTAATGTCCAGCTCAGAGCAACATCGTGAACAGGAATCAAAGCACTAACCGAGGAACCGTGACTTCGAAGGAGATCCGTGCAAGTCAATGTCGTAGCTCCCTACTAGGTCGTCGTAATCCTCTCCATCGGAGCTGGGCTCAGAGTCCATGAGTACAACGTCACCGACTGTGTTAACGTAGTCATCAGGGTCTTCATCGTCAGAGTTCTCCGAGGATAGTATACCTTCTCGCGGCAGAAACTGGTCTGCAGTCGATTCCGTATATTCGACGTGAATACCGGCTGCCATCTCGGCGTCGGTGGGACCCCACGCATCAGACGGTAGTTCGTTCGACGAGATGTGGCTAACTCGACGGCGCCAGATCACGGCGAGTTGAAGAAGCTCTTCTCGGCGGACTTGAAGTTGGTGGAGCATGCCTGGGCACAGGTCTGTATGGTGTGTTAGAACTGTGTGGCTTGCGCAGAAATTTGGACATTCACCCTTGCTCGTTTGAGCCATATCCACCGCCGCCCATTCTTCTCTAAGCCAATTCTGCATGATTCCTCGTTCCCTGGATATGCGCGCCAACTCTTCTTTACACCGGTCGCTTTCGAGCATCGCGCGTATTCCGCTTTGAACCTTGTCGTTGGTAAGCCATGGAGGGGACGCAGACTCGTCTTCCAATAGCCCGGCATCCTGCCAAATTGGATCATCGACGTCAAGCGTCCAGAATGTGGTCAGATTGATGGTAGTAGGAACCGTGGCTCCCGCAGGCGCCTTGCCTTTCTTGATCAAGGTGGCCATTTCGTTACACAGACTGTTATATTTTCGTGCGACATTCTGAATTGCAGGCTCGCGCTTCGCAATTGCACGTGTTGTATGGCCAAGTAGTTTACGCCCTACGTAACAGGTCAGCATACGGTTCCCTCGCAATGATGCGAACTCACCCGATGAATGTCCTTGATACATGCGACCAGTCTGAGATAATTCAGATCTTCGCTGTCGCAGCCGGTCCCGTAGTCGGGTTTTGAGCGCAAGCGCGTTTGCTTTGAGTCCGAGGAACTGATCTTTCCGCAAGTTTGTGAGATTTTGGCGGGATGATCCATCCAAGAGTGTTTCAAGTTGGGCGAGCTTCTTCCGCGCATTCAGTCGGTCGTCCTCCAGCAAAGTTTGACAATCTAACGCCTGCAAGGGATCCAGCTTGGCTCCGTTGACGTTAGCGTCGGCAATGGCAATGTCCAGGGAACGTATGCGGTCCTCGAGTGTAATGATTGCGTCAACGTATTTTTTACCCGCGTTTTTCGATTGTCCTGCGAAGGGTTTGGTGATAGTGACAGTATTGAATATGATCGTCGATACTTACTAGGTATGGACTTCAGTTGTGCAGCGCGCTGGCTGGCCCAATGTTCGCGAACTTCTTCTTCCGAAAAACCACAGTTCTGCAGTTCGGTCAAGGCTTTGTACAGTCGGGTGCAGCAAACGTCGTACTTGTTTGCCATTGAGCCTCCGAGATTCAGTAAGAGTTTCATCCTGAGGTAGTGGACTTGGCGATCGAGAGTGTTTTGCCGCTGATGGTACTTAACGCAAGCGTCAGCACCACGTACATCAAAGTGGCTGAGACTTACCCCGCTGACTCTGTTAACAGAGACGAGGTGATCGATTGAGCCCCAGAAACGCTCACAGCCCTCGCCATCACTGCAGCCAAAACCGTCGCATTTTCGGGGATGATAGCATAGCTGGCAGGCCCATTGATGTTGGTAGGCATGGAATACTGATACCGCGAAAGCTATTCGATCACGGACTTCGGTTAGGAAGCCCCATCGATATACGCTCCGGTGAATCTGACAGCCGATATCGTACAGGATACCAGCGCGCCACGTCGTGGGTATATGCTGAAAGAGTTTGTCGATCAATGCGAGGGCGTAGTATTGACGCTCGCCCGCGCTGGTCATGTTGGCCAGCCAAAGGACAAAGTCATGCCGGCAGATCAACGCTACAAGTCCGGTATCGTCAAAAAACGTAGTACTGGCTTTCTCACGTTTCTCGTCAGCAGCTATGAAAGAGGATTCACATCCGTCCAAAACAGAGTTTGGGACCAGGAGAGGACCCTCGCACCCGTCGGAATCTGCCCCCGTGTCGTCGGGACGCCTATCTGGTACCGCTCTTTTCTTCCCCTTGTTACTGTTTTTAGAGTTACTCGCCGCAGTTCTTGCAGACTCGGCCTTGCCTCGGAGTTTCGTCACATAATCCTCCATAGATTTTACTTCGGCCTCAGGAAGAAATACAGTGTCGGGATGACATTTCATGGGATCCCGTGGGCCAGAACGCCGTTTTTGACTGAAACACGCGTCGATGCACACAAGAACATCAAGTCTGAATGCGTAACGGTTATACCCTGCCGAAGCGACATGTAATTACAAACTTACCCCACGGATTTGTCGTGCTGGCCAGTGCCCCCAAAGCACAAGGGACATCGAGACCGTAAATAGGCGCTTGCCCTCCCTGCCTCCGCATGGGAGCCGGCCGAGAACGTATGCTTGGATGACCTCGGGGGTTGGTTCGACGATACCGACTCAGGCGCCTGGCAATCGGCGGATTTTGTCTGGGCATCAGAAGACGATTCGGGGCCTCGATGTTCGGAGGACAAGTTTGTTGTGAGAATCTTCGTTCGCGCAAGGTTGATAACGCTGTTTATTTCCGCTTGTACGTGGTCTGTGAGGTATGTGTACCAGTTCAGCGCGTTTCCCAAGCGGCGGCGCACGGAATGCTGTAGCAACTTGTCACGGTATGCACAACAAACAGCACGAGTGTTGGAACATACCCTTGTACGCAGTTTGAACTGCCTGGCTCCAAGAAAAGCCTCCAGCGTTGACGCCCATGCCGTGATGTTCGGCGCCACCCGTAAGAACAATGCTGCCATGAGCTCCAACATATTGATGTCAAAAGCGACTGACGGAGCTTTCGGGGCGCACGGAAAGTAACCGTGGGTGATAAGGTAGCACGCTGCCGATGTACATTCGCATACGTGAACATCTATGTGCTCCAGACCTGGGTAATGTCATGATTAGGTGCATTCTCAATGTGGCGAATGGTTTGAACTCACGATCAACGTACACCACTAGAATCTTGTGCTTTTTTCGGTCCGGGGCCTTGCAGAAGGAGCACGGGCCACTCACGACCTGATCGGAAGTCTTGCTCCGGACGCGGGCAATGTAGTTCATGTACGGGATGATAAGCCCTGGAATAGTGACGTCGCGCCACCGAAACCATTGATTTGCCTTCTTCCGTGCATATCTGAATTTTTGTGCTTTATCAATAGTATCAGTTTCACGTAGTTCTTGATATCTAAGAGGCGACGAATCCCGGTGAGATGATGGAGAGGTGCAGGAGCGAGTTGATGGTGTGGAAGTCACTGGCTGCTCATCTGTGGGGGTTGATGCCTCCTCCAGAGTGCTCCATGTCGCTGCTGGGATGGGTCCCTGTCTCCCATCTGGATGTTGTGCGAAAGTCCGCCCGTCTGGAAGAAGGAATATAGGCACAGGCTGCCCATCTTTCTGAGGAGGAAGCCAGCCGCGAGCCGACAACGAAGGGCCTGCATCCAAAGACGTTGATGGCGAGCCAGCGTTACTAGACGAACCACATTCTGTGGACCTCAAATGGCGACGTGGTATGCGGAACGACATGGAATGGTGCGACTGTTCAATAAGGCGAGCCTTCAGTATGGATCAAGTCTCAACTTCGTTGAGGGTGAGTGACAATGTACGAGAAATGCGGGGTACGTTTCTTTGGTTGTTTCTACTCATCTCTATGCCTCGCGGGGGCCATGCTGCACCAACGTTCAGGAGCGCAAGCGGGTGATCGCATGACTTGGCCTTTCTGCATTCTCGCGGTCACTGGTAAATAAGGAGATTGAAGAAACAATGAGAATGACATAGTTGAAGCGGGGATACAGTACATGGGAGGAACATGTACACGCATGTAACTGCGGCATGATAGAATGTACAGTGCGGTTCTATTTCTCACCGACAGATGCGAGGCATGCGTAAAGCGTATCATACGTTAACCATACGTGTAATTAACAAAATATAGTGACCGGTGTCAGTCATAGCGGCACCGAGCGCATACATGTGAGACGGACGTCAAGACGGGGACAACAGTTCAATACCAACGCGCCAATCACGTCAAGTAGAGCAAAAAAACGGCTTGCAAGGAGGACGTTACCAGAAGCGAGCACGTGAAGTTATTTTGCGACAGATCCAGGCGATGTGTTCAAGACAGTGCCGTCTTTCGTCGGAGGGGCACAGGGGCCATGTTGATCACATCACCTATGACTATTATTTAGATGGTTCTATGATATCGTCCCAATAAAAGACGTACGTGCATTATCAGACTGTCGTAGCGAGTATGAGACCTGAGCGGAGCATTCCTTCCCGCTAAGTCTCGCCGCGTAATTCTTGAAGGCGGGGAAGGGGGATTAGTGACGTGAACGGCCGCACCAACTCCCCGGACTTGAAGTCCTCGTAGATGGTCTCGTCTAGCAGGGGCATATGCGGGGCGGCAGCGTGCTCGGGCAAATCGAACTTTATACCCCATAGGGGCCCAACGAACAAGCAGTTGTGGACCAAGTCGATAGCCAATTTCAAGACCCGAATGTCTGTGAACGCTGTGAGACGGATGTGCGCGCAAGACGTGGGTATTACTGACCCAACGGTGACTCAAAGCGCTCGAACCACCAGCACTCTAACGTCACGCTGTCCACCACTCTGCCCGTTATCTCAACATGCATTGCCTGGTCCAGCCCTATATCCTACAATCGGGATGCACGTTAGAAACCGCCTTTTGAGATGAAAACGGAACTTACGTCCGGTGCAGCAACTTCGATGCATTGCTTGTCGACGGTTTCTAGTATGATCATCCCGTCTGGGCCATGAACCTATGAGACAATGAGTTTAAGACCATGTGTAGAACGACAACATACACCTAAGACCTGCCCTGGCACACGAACCGAGCGGTTGAGATACTGCGAGAACCGCGCCGCATTGATGCGAGGGGCAGTGCCACGCCACATCGTGCGTGAAGGTCGAGACGAAGTAATCATTGAAGTCGAGCGCGAGAGAGGGAGCGAGTGCGACGAGGGAGATAGCTGGGGGTTGACGGGCTGGCAACGAATGGTGCAGAATGCTGGGGTCTCCAAGGTGG